GGGGTCTCGTGGCTCCAAACTTTCAGTTCAAGGATTAGGAAACCCTGGGAGGATCTGGGCGCTACGTCTGGTACCAGCTGCTGTGGCCCAGGGGGCTGCGGGTGAGGTGCTTCCAGGCTGCATTGCCCCTCCTGTGGGAATGGGACTCCAGGCCCCACAAGGATCCCCAGCCACTCTTCACGGCCTGGGGACGCCGAGGCAAGAAAAGAAAATTCACACATAAACCATGTGAAATACAATTTCCCATTTTCCCTGACAGCAGCGCCTGGTCAGCATGTTTTGGTTCTAGGACTATGTGCTTTGTATTTCAGCTTCTACCAATTTTCTATTAAAACCAAAATTGATTTCCATTTTAGTCTGGATTTTAATTCCTCAGGCAAGAAGAGCATTTTCTTCTTTTCTCTAAGTCTCCTTTAAGCTCATAATAGTCATGTTTTAACTGGATATTTCTGTTCCAGTTGTTAGCAAAAAAATGTAGTCATAGATGAAAAGGAATTCAAAGCTATATAGGTCCTATGTTGAAAAAGAGTAAGTGTTTTTAATGAAAATAATTGTCAGTATTTCAACAAATACATGTAAACAGTTCTCAGTGGCTTCTGTATGTGTGTGCTATAGGATCAAATTCAGCCTAAGCAAAAGAAACAATAATGTGCAAACAACAAAAAAATGAAGTTATTGAGAGCTGTCCTTTGCTTAAATGTAAGTTAATTTGGTCTCAAATAACTGCCATTTCATCAGTGTACTCAATCCATGACATAATTTTCCCATCTTGACTTTCTGTGCTAGGGATCCTTCTTTGTTTTGCAGTTACACCACCAGTATCCCCAGGCAAAGAGTCATGAGGCTCACTAAGATGGTGTTTGCTCTGGTCAGCGTGTTTGTGGTAAGCGCTGCCCCTTTCCACGTGATCCAGCTCGTGAATCTTCGGGTTTCTCAGCCGACCCTGACCTTCTACGTGAGCTACTACATCTCCATCTGCCTCAGCTATGCCAGCAGCAGCATTAATCCATTTCTCTACATCTTACTCAGTGGGAACTTCCAGAAGCGGCTCCGGCAGTGCACAAATGTGGAAGTCAGGATGGCAGAACGGGATGTCAACATCATTGAAAACACCCTCAAGTCAAGTTTTTGAGAGAGTCTTCTCCCAAGAAAAATGCATTACCTATGTGTAGATTTTATCGGTTGCAATAGATGTGCCTGATGTCACTCCCTTCGTGAAAGTGTAACTCAGAAGTGGCTTTGTTGCTGGAATTGCACCAGTGCCAAGCTGATATAAGAGGATCTGCACCACTGTTTGAAAGGTTAGAGCTCTTAGAGGAGGGATTCTCTGCAAAAATATTCTTCGTTAGTGTGCCATTGCTTTTTCCAATGATGATTTGTACATAGATGAACCAAATGTATGCAGACAAAAAAGGATTTTAAAAAAATGTAGTCATCTGGTTGTACGAAGATAGAATGACTGTGGCAGGCATTTGGGATCTGACACTGTGTGTGAAGTCATGGAAACTGTAAGTTAATGACCAAAAGAGACTTAGTTACTGATGACTCTGAAGGGGGTAATTATTGATTTTTATCCTGTCTAAAGCTGTCTCATTTGGCACTCGCTTCTGCAGCTATTAAAGGCAGGGGAGAGACGTGAAAGGCCCTTTTGGAGGAAAACTACTTTTGAATTAACCTTTGTACATGTCCTTGCAAACAAAGTGAATTCATAATGTGCGTCACTGGGAATTATTAAACCTAAGTTTTGAAAAGAACTGTATGTTTCAGGGATATGTCTTTGCTTCTCTTTTCTCAAAATCCCTGCTTCCAAGACAGCCCTGAGAAGGGTGTTCAGTGCTGAAAGAGCTTGGTGCTCATCTCACTACAAGTGCCGAGAGGAACTTGGTGCTTGCCCAGGATGCAGACTCACTCATTTCAAGAGGGGTAGAAGAATGCCTGCTTGTTTTCAACACTTAATCCATAAGAGTTCTAGGAGTCGGATGTAATCAAGCAATATTATTAGGACCTTGCCAGCTAATACAGAAAATTGGTGAAAAAAAATTTTATTAAAAAATCTAATGTTCTCGAGAGATGTTCACAGTTCTGGTGTTTACCACACTGTGGTTTTATCTCCATCATGTTGTCTTCTCAGACCACTTCCTCTTATCTCAGGACTTCATTTATTACTTTATTGGGTGCAGATAACATTTCACTAGGACCAGAGCTTTTATGGCTACAGTGTCCTTGTTATTCAGAGACCTGATGAATCTGAAACACTTAGGATACAGATCCTCACACTTGCAGTTAACTCTCGTCTTGTCGTCCCATCCCAAATGGGCCTTTTATTCATTTATTTGTAGCACTGTGGAGGTCACGCTTTGTGATCCCACTCCATGATCTGCCAACCCACTGCAGGACCCATGACACAGGAAAGAAGAAAATGTCTTTCACCAGGGGAAGGCTGGGCTGCACATGCCCAAATGTGGATTGAGGTACTGCCCTGTCTTCTTCTGCCATCACATGGCATCTGCCAGTCCCATAGGGTCTCACACATACAGAAAAAGGAGGTTAAGGGGTTTGAAATCACTGTTCATAGTGTAAAGCCAAAGCTTTACATAGAAAATGCATGATAAAGCATTTGTGATGGTGTTATTGTAACCATAGTAGTCTGAGGGAATACTCAAGATAAACTTTACAAGTGGAGGAAATATCGTCATTAAACCCTACAGGATAGCTTCAAAATGGTAATATTTCAACATGTAAGGGCTTGTTCAGATCTGAAAAGGTTGTCAACTTTTCCCAGCTGTATGAATTAGTCTATTAAAAGTCTTATCTCTACCTACAGGCCTTGTCATTAAAAATCAATCAATCAATCAATTAATTAATTGTCTGCACACAAGGTGGCTTATCAAGTATTACAAAAATGCGGCCATGCTAAGTGCAAGTTTGTTTGTTAGCTTATTGTTCCAGTGCGTGCCTGCATGTGTCACCTTTGCTTCTGAGTTACAACTGTGACTTTGCAGGTTTCAGCTCTTTTTTCTTGCGTTTTTCTATCCTTTTTTTTCCCGTTTTTTTCCCTTGTCTGGCCTTTTGGATCAAAGCAGATCATTATGTACAAGTTCTCCCCTCAAAGAAGATTTTTCTCAAACTTGTTCAGTGAGTCATATCAGTTACGCAGTAACTCAGGGTATGATATTTAACACTTATCGCAATGGTAAAATAGTCTTTTTTAATAGCCTTGCTGTTTTTCTCTTTTGCCTGTCACACCTCCACTTTTAAAGTTGCTATGCTTTTGAAGTGATAGCAGTGAGACAGAACCACAGAAGCACGACTTCATTAAATTATCCTAACAACAGTAAGGCCGACAGGACATCGAATGTCCTCTTGTGTGAGACGCTAATAAAATAGTTTACAGTTCAGTGTGTTTCTCACCTTCTCCATACTGCTTTAATCCTCTGTATCTGAAAATAAAATGGGTGCATTTCAAAGAAATTTGTGTAAATATTCAAAAATTTTATTTATTAGCCACTAAATTCTCCATGTTAATGAAAGTCCATAGAGGAATATGATGGAAATACTTCTTTCTCTTTAATGTTCTGGAGCATCTGATCTTGATTATGTTGTTTCCCACACAACTAGAATCAGCAGTTCATTGGAAAATAAAAAACAGGCTATAGATATGGGAAAAAAGGAAGATATTGCAATCCTATTGAATTTTAAATGGCTCTGAAAGCTGAAAAGTAGGTGATTTAGTGTGTCTTTCAGTTGAAATATTACTGAAGAAGAAAATTTGGATCTGAAGGAAGAATGTTATTGTGGGTCTAGGGAAAAAAGATAGAAGGCCACGTAAAGGTGAAGTATTGCTGGAATCAAACTGGAACATCAAGTACATTCCCTGCTGGTGATATATATTTTCTGTGTAGTTTTGCCCCTGCATCATTACACATAACTATAAGCTACACAAAAACTGTAATTTCAAAAAGTTTCTTTCAAGATACTTACTTGCAATCTGGTGAGTACTATCTGTGTACAGATAAGAGTAACTCATACCTTCAGATAATTTTTTTAATTATTTACTTTGCAGGTAACACTTGTTTAAAATGCAGCATTTTTTATCAGGACTATTAACATTGTGCTGCAACCACCATCCAGCTCAGCATTTCAAGGTTTTTTGTATTTCAGCTTACAGTAATAGGTTGAGGGGGGACATATTCAGTCAATAAATCAGAGTCTTTCAGCTGAGAGTTTCCAACCCATCAGGAAGCCAACCCTGACTGTACTCCAGGGCACTGTGGACTTGAAACTCCTTCCAGAAAATTAAATGTCAAAGCTTTGGGATTTAATAACGTAGCACCTGTTACAAACATTGTGATGACTGCTGTAATCCCATCATCCAGTCTAAAACACTGCCTGCATGAGCAAACTGGATGCCTAAGTGAAATTGGATACCTTAGGAGTTGGTAATGGTATAATATACACAACGTTCCTTATCCAGTAAAAGCACTTAACAGACTTACTGCATTTTAAGCATGTAGATAGTTTCACAGAAGTCAATGTAGGTATGCGACTATGTGATTTGCCATACTGGGGCCCAACCCTTCTATCCACATGCCACTACCATCTGGAGATGAATTTACAGGGCATACTCAACTTAAAGGTGTGTGCAGAGGAAGAAGAGAGAGAGAGGATGCCTGTGTGCAGTTCCTAGCAGGTAAGTGTTTGGAAATAGTCATAGACATAATTAGCACTCGAGAGGTGATCTTGCTGAGGAATACAATAGGAAGACTATTCTTGCCTTCAGAAATATTTCCTGGAGCTGGATTTCAAAGGGCTGAGTTTATAGCCATGTACGTATTCAGGCCAGGATCCCCTATCGTGGTCACGCTGCTGTAGAGCAGTAGTGTCTTCTGTTGCTTGTGCTGTCTGTCAGCTCCCTCCTGCCTTGAAAGAAAATCAGCATCGCCTGGATGTCTCTTCAAAGGGAATCAGTACCAGCCAGATCAACAGCAGTGCAGTGATTTTGTTTGCTTGTGCATAAAACACATTTGCACATTTGAATATTCGCAGGGAAATTTTCTACACAGTTAAGTGTATTATGTAAAGCTAAAAGTGTGTTTAATGTTCAGTAATTCAGTTAAACTATGTGTGATGTAGTGTTGATCCAATAGTAATGACAATCACCGCAATCATTTAATCAGTCTTGCACATACATCATTATTATTTTAAACATTAGATCTGAGAGTTGCTTGACAGAGCTTGGGATCACCCTGCTTCAGAGCAGCTTCTGTATGCTCCCATTTCTTCTTCCCTCCTAAGAGGTGTTGTGAAAACATGTCTCAGAGTCTTCAGAGTCCTTCAAAAAAGCAGAAAAAAAGGAAAGTCTACTCCTAGACTTTTAGTAGAAATACATAACTGCCAAAGAACTTTGTTTTTGAGGGAGTGCACAGGTTCAAGGATCTGTTACTACAGGTCCAATACCAGGACCCCAACATTCAAATAACTTAGGTTGCAACCACATTATGTTTCGAATCAGACTTTTTTAATCTTTCACCTGCAGTTTTGCAGGACTGTGTGGAACAGAAAATTAGTTTCTGTGGCAAAACTGGAAAAATAAAAGGAACTAACACACTGCATGAACTTTCTTAAATGGTTTGTTCGCTCCAGAAGGCCATGAGTTTCATAAAATAACTACGTTTTGTGTGTGTTTTTCCTTCTCTTATCTAATTATCAGCCTCTCTTGCCTTCCCACCCAGGAAGAACTGACCAGTGCCCATTTTGTTCACATGTTCACAGTTTGCCACTGTACACGCTGCTGTGCCACAGTGTGTGAGTTCTTTGCCCACACACTGTGAAAGATGACAGACTGTGTATGAACCGTCTCACCAGCTAAATGATAGATAGAGGATGCCTTCTAGTATGGACAATACCGCCCTATCATACATGGCTACCTTTTCCATTGCTCTCCTTTTTAGCTTCAGCCCCCAAAATTCATCTCCCTCTCCGTGATTCAGAAATCATGGCAGAGGACAGGAGAGAGCAGATAAGAGAAAGTAAGGAGGAAAATGCAATTCTTTGGTATTTAAAGAATCAGAGCACGGTCTTCTTGAAAGCATTTTCACTAAGGAAGAAGGAAAATACAGAGAGAAAATAACT